ATGAAGCGCTAAGTCAAAATATTTTTGGCATATGTTAAAGTTTAATTTTATCACTTTTTTTTTTACAGGAACTATAGCTATTTGCAAGTACATATAAAACTACAATGTTACATATAAACTATGAATTAAGAACTTTTTAAGAAATGAGACTAATCTAGCAAGTTTATTTAAACGTTTAACTTAAGAGAATAATTAAGGATGTCCATACAAAAGGATTTAGCCGTGACATGAGAATGTTCACCCTGGCAAATCAATGGAAATTATTAAATGTGCAAAAGTTAACTGTTGGAATAAATTGTAATACCTTCATATGATCGTATATCATAACCTTTTAAAATGGTATTAAAGAGTTGCATAAATTGACTTAAACACATATTCGTAACACATCACTGAATAGGAGAAATACAGGCCAGCAAAGAACATAGAGTTGGTCCACTTTCTACAAAACAAAGACTAATAGCACGACAGCAGGGAAGGGGGAATGTGTCAACGTATACTTGTGTACATGTGTATACATATGCGTAGCAAGTAGGAACTTGAAAGGATAGATATCAAATTGTTTACACAGATTACCTCAGAGAGGTACATAACTTTGGCCTGTGGTGTTGTGTATTCCACATATTCTGAATTTTCTTCTGTTATTTAAATAGAGATGGGTTCTTAGCCGGGAGCAGTGGCTCACACATGTAATCCCAGCACTTTGGGAGGCTGAGGAGGGCGCATTGCTTGAGGCCAGGAGTTGGAGACCAATCTGGCCAACATGGCAAAACTCTGTCTCTACTAAATATTCAAAAATTAGCCAGGTGCAGTGGCTCATACCTGTAACCCGGGAGGCTACAGGCATGAGAATTGCTTGAACCAGGAGGCGGAGGTTGCAGTGAGCTGAGATTGCACCACTGCACTCCAGTCTGGGAAACAGACCAAGACTCTCTCAACAACAACAACAACAACAAAGCAACAAAACAGAAATAAAGAGAAAACCTTATGGACCAGAGCAATGTCTCATGCCTGTAATCCCAGTGCTTTGGGAGGTCAAGATGGGAGAATCGCTTCAGGCCAGGAGTTCAAGAGCAGCATGGGCAACATAGCAAGACCTTTTCTCTACAAAAAAATTTAAAAAACTAGCCAGGCATAGTAGTGCATGCTTATACTCCCAGCTACCTGGGAGGCTGAGGTGGGAGGATCACTTGAGCATGAGAGGTGGAAGTTGCAGTGAGCTGCGATCACACCACCAGGGAGCCACAACCCCATCCACGCCTCCTTCCTCTGTCCTATGCTAGCAATAAATAAGTTTCCCAGCCACAAATAATTATTAGAACCTCCTCCCCATGTGCCAGCTTCAACCTCTGCTAGGTACGATACAGGGATGGCCCTACCCTCTGGGATCTACAAAACGTTACACAGATACAGTATGTACACCAGGGAAGGGGGCCACGCCCGCAGCACCTGCCCTCGCCTGGTCCACAGTTAGCCCCACTGTCCTGCCTCAGCTACCTCTCTGAATAAGAAGCTGGGAGCCCTGCTGAGGGAAAAGTTGCTATGGTGAGAGAAAGGAGGCCATCAGGCCTCCTCCAAACAAACCAACTCCACTAGCCTCTGGCTCTTAAATAACAATCATCATCATCATCCAGAAATTTAAGGACTCAGCCCTGATCAAGGTGGCAAAGGGTCTGTTTGTCTTTCCCCATTGACAGAGGTCTTGTCTTGCTACCCTAATTGTAAAGGGGTGACTGGGAAGGGGTGGCAGGGACACGGTGGCTGTGGAGACTCCAGCCCCGCTTCTCCAGGCTTTGCTGACAGGAACCTGCTTTTCATTTTTATTTTTATCCCATGACTTTTAAAAAAATCCTGTAACTTCTTTTTCGTAACTTGTTTTGGTAATTTTTCGTAAAACTTTTTTCTAATTTTTTGCCAGAAGTTTTTTTGTCACAACTTTTTTACATTTTTTAATCCCATAACTTTCACCCCATAATTTATTTTAATCCTGTAACTTTCTTATTTTGTTCTTTTAATAAACACTTGCATAGTTATATTGCAATTTTGTAAAAATGAAACCGATTATCTCATGTCAAGCATGCCCAGCATTTGCACACTATCAATACCTTTAATAATACAGTTTTCAAGACACACAAAAGAAAATTTTAAGGCAAAAACAGCACTTTGCAACAATTTAAGAATTTATTACATTACAGTAGCATGACACCAGCAGACAATAATGCCACTTTAGGCAAAAGTCTTTCAGTATTTCCATTATACATTCTGTTTACAAGAATTTATAAATTGGTAAAATTCATTCTAAGAAAACTTGGCAAATAAAGCTTTGGACTGGAATTGGCATTTCTTTCTCTACTTTTCCGTCCCACCATTTCTTTCTTTTAAGCTACAGTATTCATATTTTAAAATGTTTTAACTTATTTCAGAACATTAAGATAGCAGTCGTGTTTTTTAATAGTTATATTATTTTTAAATGACTAAGATAAAGTTTTAGAGAAATTATATTATAGATAGGGTTGGTTTATGTTTCAAATTTTCTAAAAATCATCTTTGGTTTTAGAGCTGATTTTTTTTTCATTTCTGGAAAACCTATCGGGTTTAATCAAACACTTTAAAATTATTACTATATATTGCAATCTTTAAATAGGTGTTTTGATTCTTCCTACAGAAATTCAGATTTATTCAGTTGAACTCACATATTAAAATTCTATGTTTCTGATGAACTCTAACCTTCCAATGTTGCCTTCTAAGCAAATTGAAAGCTGCCTTCTGCTGAATGAGGAAGAGCACAAATGCTTGGCTGAATGAGGTACCACAAAAGACTGCGTGCACTTTGAAGAAAGACTTAAGTTACTGTCATATGATTTCCATTCTTTTTAGCTTTTTCTTAAATATATGACAAATACCTACACAAAGAGTGGAATTTCAGTTAATCCAGTAAATTTATTTTCCAGACAGACATTCAGCTTAAATATGCCAGTGTGTGATTAACCCATAGGCAACTGATGAACACATTATTGTCAGATTGGTCACAGATGCTAGTAACTCTCTTTAAACTGAACTCAGAGAATGCAAAAGTGGCAAGTTCAGAAAATAAAAGGCAGGAATAGGACTGTGAGTCAATTTTAAATCCATGGGCTAGAAATCGGACCACTGCTAATTAGCCACATTATTGGGTCTAACATTTTTTTCTTTATCATTCTGAAACTGGGTTTATCTAATGTATTGATACATTCATGCAATTTGGAAGAGTCAGTTGAAGTCACAAGGACCCAATATTTACAGTCTTTCAGTGAATGCAGGAAATCTGTTATTCCATCGGTAAAATCATATTGTTGTTCTTCTGTTAACGTCATATTTATAAAAGTATCATGAGGATGCCAAATGCTAAAAATGGAGATGGTCTAGTAACTAGAAATCCCCACCCCAGGGAGCACACGTACATATCTCCCCACATCCTAATACTGTGATGTGTTTTGAACACAGACATTAGAACCTCATGAGGTTTTAACTGTTGAGTCTTTCCCAAGCATCATCAAGTTATGATTTAGACAATGTGTGACTGAAATTCATTCATTCATCATGCATAGGCACGATCACATAAATACTGCACAAAATATGTCCCTAACTGAAACCGAGAGGTACAAAAACATATTTCACGCTTCGTAAAGAGGGCCGGGCGCGGTGGCTCAAGCCTGTAATCCCAGCACTTTGGGAGGCCGAGACGGGCAGATCACGAGGTCACGAGATCGAGACCATCCTGGCTAACACGGTGAAACCCCGTCTGTACTAAGAAATACAAAAAACTAGTCGGGCGAGGTGGCGGGCGCCTGTAGTCCCAGCTACTCAGGAGGCTGAGGCCAGAGAATGGTGTGAACCCGGGAGGCGGAGCTTGCAGTGAGCTGAGATCTGGCCACTGCACTCCAGCCTGGGCTACAGAGCGAGACTCCGTCTCAAAAAAAACAAAAAACAAAAAACAAAAAAAAACATATTTCACGCTTCGTAAAGAAGTTTGTGAGGAAATATACCTGTGATTGTATAGACACGTTTCCTGATAATACATTGACATTCACAAACAGTAGATTGCACTGCAGTTTGTAAACATTTTAAGTTGCATAAACTTCTCCTTGATTTTCAAAGCTAGTATAATACTGTCTACTAAAACTCCTTTTTGTTTCAACTAAGTACTCTCACATATATTAGTTTATAATAATGTTTGTTATTAATTTTTAAAGTGTTTTCCATTCAAGGAAAAGAAGTAAATTCCTATGTCAGAGTAACCAAGGTGTTTGAAGAATAGGTATTAGCCAGAGAGGTCTAGATGGTAAAATCAATCTTCAAGCCTCAAAGAAGCTCCGTGAACAGACAGGAATGCCAGGTGTCACACGGCTTTCCTTTAATTCATTCTTGACTAGAGCCTGTATGCCTGTTCCAGGGACATTTAAACTCATAAAGGATTTCTTATGATCTTTACTAAATACATTAAGAAGAATGCCAGCCAGCGCCCTTTTGTGTACTGGGACATGTAGTCATGTGATTAAAACAGGTAACATGAACTCTGATTTTCAAATGTATTACAGATACAAATGCTCTAAGCTAGGAAAGGTTTTCCACATCCACAGTCAATCATGGGAGCCTTTCATTCCTCAGAAATAATCCCTTTTTAGGTCATCAGAAGAGTACAACTGCTGCAGCTCCTGATGCAATATCTTCATGAGCCCAGAGCACACACGAATCCTAAGAGAACTGCCATAGTACAGCGCTCGTTCTTGGCGCCGGAACAAATGAAACACACTGTATCCCACACATTCCTGCCGGAGCAGGCCACTGTCCTCTTCTGTGAGATTTAAAAAGCTTCCCCAAAACGTTATTACTCCCATCACCAGTACACAGAAAATGGGGGAAAGGCTGTTTCCAGTTCTCAGACTTTAAACAACTCTAATGTCAGTACTCACTGATTTGTTTTGTGCGACCACCACAGCAGGCGCCAGAGAAAAGGCAAGTAGGCAAAGTAAAAAGAAACTTTATTAGCTAGCCAACGTGAAAGAAGAAAGGGCAAAGTGCACCGGTCTCCGGCGTTCTGGGGAGAAGTTCCAGGGTCCGCATATGAGGAGAGGCCTAGTAAGTTCCCACTGCCTGTCTCCCCGGAGCGGCTTTATGTCTTGGGCCTGGCAGTGGGCGGGCAGAAGGCCGGACATGGGCGGGTCGGGGCGTGTGGTAGCCGCGGCCAGGTAGGTTTCGGTTTCCTTGGTCGGACATCAGGTTGCGCCTGCGCAGTTGACCTGTGTCTTCCCCGGGAGCAGGAAAGTTGGTGATGAAGAACCCGGAAATACGCCATCTTAGTCCCTTTTGTTCTTTGTTTCCCTCCTCCCTCCATCCAGACACTCACGGTGGCATATTACAAAGTAATCAACAGTGACACTTGCAGGTAAACCACATATTGAGCTAATGAAGAGCTCACTGTGATTAAGATTACATCAAACAATAGCAGAACATAAGCAAATTTTATCTGAATTCTGTAATGAACATAGATGCTGCAATAACATTGAAAAAGCAAGGCAGCCTATTCCAAACCAGCGAGAATAGTTTTGTGCAAACAGTGGGTCTTTGTGTGTTTGAACTCCCACCACGTAACGGCAAACTCAATATACATGCTAATGACCTACAATTATGAAATTAAAACAGAAAAATGCTAAAGGATGCCAGAGTGAACCTCAGTGAAAGGCACAGAGACCCACTTTTTTAACTTTTTACAAATAAACTATAAATTAGAAACACAAATAATCATTCAAATGAAGGAAATGAATTGTGTAGGAGATTAACCCCGTAACTTTCTTTTTTAAAAAGGTCTTGAGCAGCTCTTTGATGACGGTGATGTTTATCTCCTCCTTCTCGGCAGCCAAGCCCAGCAACAGAACGGCACAGAGCGGCTGCTGCCCAAGCCTGGGTGCTCCTGGTGCTCCTGCGCGATGGTCTGTGCAGCAGGGTTGTTGTGGGGAGACCCCTCCGTGGCCTCGTGAGCTGGCTCCTGGCTGTCGGTGAGGCTCATGTCACAAAGATCTTTGGAGAGAGGGAGTTGGGAGTTTGGAGACAGTGAATGGGGGATCTGAGCACAGTGCAAGCCCCGCCCGTCCCCCCCCCCACCCCGCTCCTGCCTGCCCGCCCCGCCTGAGGGCTCTACTCACCACCATGCTTGTGGGCATCCCCAGTCTCCTGGGGGGCTGGGGCTCCTGGACCGGGCTCCTCAACAGGGTTCTGGGAAGAGGTCAGGAGTTTGCTGTGCTCGTTGTTCTGGTCAGCATAAGACGCAACATCATCTCCTGCAGCGCCAGCACCTTCACCTGGAGGGAGGGGTGCTCAGCCGTCACACCGCTGCCGGCACCCTTCACGCCCACCCCACCCGACCCCCGCAGAGATGTTGCACACGCTACCTTCATCTCCTCCCTGTCCTGGGCCAGCCTGATGATGTCCTCCCCGTGCTGCATCTTTGGCACTGCCTCCTGGCTCATTTATAAGGTGACGAATTTTCCTGCAGGAGGACAGGACTCAGAAGCTGGGGCCCCTCTGAGGGCCCTGCAGCTCCCCCTGCCATGCCCTGACCTCCCACTCACTGATGACATCTCTCCCTCCAGTACTGGATGAACTGAACTTCTAGTTTCTCCACACGCTCCCTCAGGTCTGTCTGCTCCTCCAGGAGGTCCATAAGGCCGCTCTGGACCCAAAATAATGGGGTCACATCTCGGCAGTGACCTGCCCCACCCCTGCCCTTCTTGGCCCATGCCAGCACTCACTCACCTCCAGCTTCTCCATGACTTCCCGCAGGCCCCGCTGGGGTTCCCCGATCACAGACTCGCCCCCAGTCCCTGGGGCTGGGACCACAGAGGAAGGTGGTAAAATGGGTGCGGGGGGAGTCAGGCTCACCATGGCCTCCCAGCTCTCCAGGTCCTCTGGGACGCTCGGCATGGGCCGAGGTCCCTCCTCCTCCTCACTGTCCAGATGTCCTCCATCTCCTGTGGGGAGTGGCCAGAGGGCTCCTCAGACAACCCAACAAGGGAGGTACTGTGGGCCCACCTCTGCCTCCACCCTCACTGGGTAACCCTGAGCCAGCCCCTCCCCAGAGAGGAATGAGCTGCTGTTCTTTATTTTTATTTTTAAGACCCAAGATCTTGCTATACTGCCCAGGCACAGTCCCACTACCAGTCAGTGTGGGAGTTCTGACCTGCTCCATTTCTGACCTGGGCCAGTTCAGCCATCCTTAGGCAACTTGGTGGCCCCACCGCTCCCAGGAGGTCACCATATTGATGCCGAACTTAGTGCAGGCACCCGGTCAGCATAATGACCAGCTGTTCTAAAGATCTCTTCCAACTCCTCAATCCTATGCTGCTAACAGTCCCCCCTTCCTCCTGGGGCTCTCTCCTCTTCCTCTGAGTGGTCTCCGGTACCTTCCCCAGGGAGAGCCATGAGGCTCAGTTGGTCCTGCAGCTGCTGCTTCTGCTGCCTGGCAGCCTCCAGGTGCTCCTAAGGGGCCAGAAAAGAGTAAGAAGGCACGGAGTTTGCCAGGTCGTCCCCCTCATGGCCCCGTCCTCAGCAGGTCCCTCCCCTGGGTCTCCTACAACTTTTGGCGGGCCATCTCGGACACCGCTTTGCCCCAAGCTTCCTGCTGCTGCAGCTGGTTCATTAGCTGGGTCTGCTGCAGTAACTGCCTGTGCAGCGCCTCCTTCTCAGAGGTCAGCTGCTGATAGGCGGCCACCTGCTGCTGATAGGTGGCCACGGACTGCTGCAGGTGACCCAGGTAATGGTCTGGCTGCTGCTGCAGACTATGAGCCCTTTGGCTCTTCAGCTCCACCTGCAGGAAGACCCTGGGTGTGACGGCACGTGGCTGCTGGCTTCCAGATTCTGGACTCATCAATAAGGTAGTGAGGGCACTGTGGGGCTCTGTTGTCTTCCCAGGCCCCTGGCCCCTTGCTCCAGGCCTAAGTGACTGCCTCCCTTTCCTAGAACACCATGCCTCCTTCCTCAGCCTCAAATCTCATACCCTCCTTCACCATTTGAACTGTAGGCCACAGACTGGTGGAAAAGCAGTGGGAGCCAGCCGCCATCTGCTAAGCGTGTTAGAGGCCTAGTGCTTTCCATGTATTATCTCATTTAATCCTCAGCACCTCTGTAAGGAAAATGCTAACTTCCTTTTGAAGTTAAAGAAACAGAGACTTAGAGATGCAAAGTACTTGAATGGTGACCAGTGGAACTGAGGCTGGAATCCAGTTTTAATCTAAGGAGCCTTTTTGTTTTGTTTTGAGACAGAGTGTCACTCTGTGGCCCAGGCTGGAGTGCAGTGGTGCAATCTCAGCTCACTGCAACCTCCACCTCCTGAGCTCAAGTGATTCTTGGGCCTCAGCCTCCTGAGTAGGTGGGATTACAGGCATGAGCCACCATGCCAGGCTACTTTTTTTTTTTTTTTTTGTAATTTTAGTAGAGATGAGGTTTTACAATGTTGGCCAGGCTGATCTTGAACTCCGACCTCAAGTAATTCTCCTGCCTCAGCCTCCCAAAGTGCTGGGATTATAGGCGTGAGCCACCGTGCCTGGCATAAGGAGCCTCTTATCCCACTGCCTCTTCCCCTATGATTGGGGGGCTCTATGCCTCTAGCTGGGATGATGATTTCCAGACCTGGGAGGAGCCCAAGGCTACCCACCTCTAAAAGTCAGAGGGCAGGAAGCAAGAAACAGTCTCAGGACTGCCCTGGAGGGTGGTGGAGTCACCTCCCCCAGGCTGGAGCTGCTTCTGGCCTGGCACCTCCCATCCCCAGAGGCTGGTGCCCGCCTCCCAGGCCTTCTTGGATGGGGTGGACATTACCATCTCCTTTACCTCACCCAGCTTCCCCTGTAGCTCATCTATTTGCTGCTCCAAGTGCAGTACGCTCTTGTTCTCATTGTTTTGGACAGAGAGAAGCAATCAGCAGCCACCCACTGAAACTGGAGACCCCAGAACTCGGTGTCTGCCTCCCACGGCACGGGGAAGGGTGGAGGCAGGTTAGAAAAATCATCCCCTCTCTCCCACAGCCACCAGAGCAGGGCTCTGGCTCACACGTGCCTTTAGAAGTAACATTTCACATGAGGGCTACGTTGCCCCATTTCACAGGTGGGGAAACAAAGGCCTGGAGGGCTAGGGAGGAGGGCAGGCTCTGCAGTTGGGGCAATGCACCAGCTCCTCGATGCCGCTCTGTGGCTCGGCCAGCTGCTGAAGCCTCTCCTCCTGCTCCCGAAGCCTCTCCTTTAGTGTCTGGTTCAGGAGACTTACGTGTTGATGGTTTTCCACGTGGGCCTGGAGCTCTGCTGACACCCTCTCTAGTTCCTTCCTCAGGTGCTGCAGCTCCTCCTCGGGGGGCACAGCTGGGGGGTCCAGGGACAGGGGTTTAGCTGAGAAAGGAAGCAGACAATAAGGGCCTCTGGATTCTCCAAAACCAAAAAACAACAACAAAATCCCTCCTCTTGGTGCACAGCTCCTCTCAGGCTCCCCAAACTTGGCCTCACTGCTAATGATTCCTCCCACCCGGATGGTAGCCAATCTTCCAACCACTTTCAGATGGAGAGCACTGTGGGTGGCTGACAACGGGCCCCCTTTGCTGATGGGGACACTGAGGCTCACACAGATGACAAGACTTGCCGTCTCCTGGCACAGACCTCTTTCCCTCTGCCTCAAAGCCCTTCCATCCACCCACCTCCCTGGGGCATTCTAAGCCCCCCACAGCCCTCTGATGCCAGGCCTGCTCCCAGGTCACACCAGCCCCATCTTACCCATCCGGTTCTTGAGTTTGGACAAGCTCCTCTCCAGCTTCTCCACCCGACGCATGTCATCCTTCTTCTCCTTCTTCAAGGTGTAAACCTGCCCAAAGCACAGGGGGAAAGGGCCCTGGAGAGAGGGGCTGGTGGCTGCCATCTCCCTCTCTCCCCCACCTCCACAAAGCCCAGACCCATGACCACCTCTGGCTGTATATTCCCATTTTAGAGATGCCCAGAAAGATTCCGTGACCTGTCTAAGGTCAGGGGGCTGAAGGATCAGATCTCACCTCCTGTGACATTTTCTTCATCCTCTGCTGCCACCGGGCCCTCTCTCCTTTTAGATGTTGAACATATTCATCTCTCTCTAGATGGGCTTCTTTTAGCGACTCCTTCAACTGCAAGAATGGGCACAGAAGTTAGGAAGGGCTGTCACTGGTCCTCACCTGCTCCTGGCCACTTGGGGTCATCTTGCTTCCCTCCCTCCCTCTGCAAAACCTCACCTGGGTCAGCTGTGCTTTCAGAAGTGCCTGCTCCCGTGTGGACCACTCTAACTTCCACTCCATACGTGCTTTCCTGTGGCTCGAGGACTGGATGGTGAAGAGTGAGAAGTTTCAATCTGGGGAGCCTGGGCCATTCCACACAGTGCCCCTTAAAAGAGCTAGGGCTAGACTCAGTATACAACTCAGTCAGTAAACATAGAGGCATTTCCAAGCCCATGGTCTGGTTTTTAAAAGAACTCAGTAAAGTTGGAAGGGACAGGGAAAGAGATCGAATTTATAGCTGGCTAACAGAGACCCAGAGAGATCACATAATATTGCTATTGTTATTACTGTTATTACTACCACTGTCTGAACCTTTATGGAGTGCTTCACCAGGCACCATGCTAGCAATTCCCTTTAATCCTCACAACCACCAAAGGAGACAGTTACTACGATTCCCTCTATTGCGTAGATGAAAAAACATGGAGTATTTGAGGTTAAATGCTTGCCTAACATCACTTAGGCAGAGCTGGGATTTGAACACCCAGGTCTATCCGATTCTCTAAGCCCATTTTCTTGCTGGGGTTGAAAGCACAGATAGGAAGGGGAAAAATAATCTTTTGTTCAGTTTTTGAAACGATGATACCTTTGCATAGTCCAAAACTCAGAAAGTACAGAAGGGAAGTATCTCCCAGCCACCTTGTTGCTCTCTCCCGAGTGTTTTTGAACTGTTGCAGACATGTTTTATGTATACTATCCCCAGTCCCTGCTGTGGGAGGAGGTTGGAGGATCGGCCTGCAGGGTCACTGCACCTCTGCCCAGAGCCTCTTACCTCCAGTTCCTTCAGGGGAGCAAATGATATAGGGCTGTCTCCGAGGATACCCGTTGCTGACTACAAGAGATGAGAGTGCACCTGGAGATGTTCTGTCCCCCTCAGTGTCAGAGCCCTCTGACTTCCTTTCTTCCCCATCAACTGGCAACATTTTCTTTTCTGCCTATCTTGGACCCTTTGTCCCATAACTCCTTTGTGCCAACTTCTCTCATGCTTTTTATCTCCCCACCATCCCACCCTGGGGCCCTTTCAGTGAATCCTGATGACAAGTGGCTGTTCTCATTGTCCTGGCTTCCCCTTGAGACTGGGGATGAAGAAAATCGAACACCAATGACCATATCCTGGGTGTCCTGGGTGTTTACTGCAGGCCATGTACCAGGGATTAGCATAAAAACAACAGTAACAAATCTCATTTAAACTTCACAAATGGAAGTCAAACAATAATACCACCTCTATTATACAGATGTGCAAAGAGAGGCCCAAAGAGCTCAAGCAACTTGCCCCAAATCATATCCCTAACAGATGGAGAGGCAGGATTCAAACCCAGTACCCAACAGTCTATCCACAATCTTAACTATTACCCTCTACTGCCCCTTGTGCCCCTTGTCCCCAGGAGCGTGGTCAGCCAAGACTCACATCCCCAGGTGAGTGACAACCACCAGAAGTGGCTGTCTCAGGGACACTGCCATTTGTTTTCCCGTTCTTCTTCGCTCCTGCTGGACCACCAGGGCTGTTTCTGTGCCAGTATTCTTTTAACTGTGGGAAAGAAGAGCAGTAATACTCATGGGAACCATCAGCCCCTACAGCCACATCCTCCTTACAGTTTTTACAAAATACTCTATACACCATCTGATTTAATGACACCAACAACTGTACAAGGTGTTGTCACAATCATTTAGTGACTGAGAGGGATTGATATGGATAGGGAAAAAAAAAAGAAGAAAAGAAAAAGGCGATACTGGAACTTTAAAACTCAGTCTTCTGACTCCAAGCTCTGGGGTTTTGCCAAGGATCAGCAGCTGCCAGGGACCAAAACCAGAGGCAGAGGTAGAAAACTAAACATTAAGTAGGCAGGAACTGGTTGCCATGTGGTTTAGTCATACATCCTCACACATCTGTTAGTGTGAAGAAGTGCACCAGTACCTCTCAAACTTTTTTTTTTTTTTTTTTGAGATGGAGTCTCGCTCTGTCACCCAGGCTGTAGTGCAGTGGCCGGATCTCAGCTCACTGCAAGCTCCGCCTCCCGGGTTTTCGCCATTCTCCTGCCTCCCTAGTAGCTGGGACTACAGCAGGCGCCCGCCACCTCGCCCGGCTAGTTTTTTGTATTTCTTAGTAGAGACGGGGTTTCACCGGGTTAGCCAGGATGGTCTCTATCTCCTGACCTCGTGATCCGCCCGTCTCGGCCTCCCAAAGTGCAAGGATTACAGGCTTGAGCCACCGCGCCTGGCCACCTCTCAAACTTTTATATCAATGTGTCCTCATGGCAGAAGGCAGCCTTTCTGTTAAATCTGGGAATTTATCAGAAAGAGGACAACCCAAACCTCATTTCAGAGAGAAGTCTGGTATACTCTTAGAGACCTATGTGACTGTCATCCCTAAGTACATTAATGTCTTTTCTCTTGATCTCAAGAGAATCAAGGGAACCTGATGCTTCAGAAAGATGTCCCATATTCATCCTGTGGTACGCAAAGTACTGCAGGATGAGATAATATGAGGAAGATTCAAGCTGTCAAGTTCAGTTTCCCAAGATCTATTCCTCAGAAGATGAGCAAATCTCACTTCAGAGACCACTGACTGAAGGGCAGTCTGGTCCCAGAACCATGGAGAAATAGAATATGAGGTGGAGAACTCAGAAAAAATTGTTAAAATCTCTCTGGAAAGTAGAAAGCTGGGAGAAAACCAAAACAAAACCAATTCTCCTATTGCCACCCAGAGATACTGTCAATGTTTTGAGCTCACGGGGGAAGTGTAGGCTTTTCTCACTGTCAATGTCGATGTTAAGGGAGTGAGGCAGCCTGGAACCCCTTGCTCCTAGGTCCCATAGTCTCCATTCCCCTTCCAGCTGGAAATTTGCGCTATGACCAGAGGAACCAGAAATGGGGTGAGAATGCTTAGGGGACTGGGTCATAAGATCAAAGGCCGGTCTTCCAGTAATGACAGTTTCTAGGTGGATTGTGACATCACCACATTCTACTCCTCCAGGTCGGGGGGAGGGACCACATCAGTAGTGTGTCCGAGTCACTGCTCCACAATGGAGGAGGGAAACACAGGGTTGGGACCCAGGTCCTTAGAGACGCCAGTGCAAAGAGCCCAGGGAGGGTGACCTTGAAGTAGCAGGAGTGGAGGGCAGAGTCTGCAGCAGGGAGCCCCAGGAGTCACCAGCGTCCCAAAGTCCCGTAGTCCCAAAGTCACCCAGGGATGACTGGCAAGGGTGGGGCCTGGGGCTGGGGGACCCAGGTTCTTGGACACGTGAGCCCAAAGAGCCAAGGGAGGTCAAGCTTGGGGCAGCAGGAGATGAGGGCCCATTAATGGAGTGGGGAGCCCCAGGAGTCACCCGCCCAAAGTCACCCTGAGGTGACTGCCGAGGGCAGGGACACGGCTGCTTGCTGAAGGGGTGGGGCTGACTGACAAAACTTTGGTGGGGGTAGCCCAGAGGCACTGGGGTGGGGGACCCAGTCTGGTGTGCCTCAGAAGTGGTATGGACTCTGGCAGGAGTCTTGTCGTCGGAGGGCATCTGTGACTGGGTTGGGGGGCCATGACCTAGTGTGTTTTTACCTTTTTCTTGGCTGCTGCCAATTTGCTCTCTCGAATTTCTCCTGCCATGGCAGGGTAGGGAGGGAGGCGGGGTTGGGGCCACATCAGCAAAATCCCAGCGAGCACTGATCAACACCTCCAGTCACCAACCAGGTTGCTGTGCGACTGAGCCAGAGGAGGCGTAACCAGGGCCCCAGTAGAATGCGGAATAGGGGTGTGGCCTTAATGCTCCAAGCCCATTGGTCAATGAGAAAGATGAAAGGGAAAGGGGGTGTGGCCAGACAGCAGCATGGCCAGAGGGACCTGTGGCTCACAAGGTAATCTGCCCACGCAACCGCTGTCCCCACCCAGTCTAAGACGGGGAGAGGCCACCCACTCTGGGAGAAGGGAGGGGCTGGCTTTTGCTTTAAAAGCTTTAAAACTTTAAAAAATATATGTGTGTGTACTTTATATGTGTGTTTTTCAGTTTTTGTGTATGTATCTGTTCCTCCAGAGTTATCTTCATGACCCAGCTTCTATTCAAGGTCTATGATTTTGGCCTATATTTTTCATACAGTACAAAAATTACCAGTATTACGTTAACTGAGATACAGATCATATAAAAATGGAAAATCCATAGCATGCTTGATAGTTAATGAAGCAGACTATATTATTCAACATTCCAATAAGATAAAATAATCACAATGGTTTCTCTCGTTTGGAAAAATATTTCTCTTATTCTTCTATGTTATTATTAAGATTTTTTTTTTCTTAAACAAAAGACATGTTTAATATCTGTAAAAACCAAAGCTTTTGGGCCAGGGGCAGTGTCTCATGCCTGTAATTCCAGCACTTTGGGAGCCTGAGGCAGGCGGATCAGGAGGTCAGGAGATTGAGACCATCCTGGCTAACACGGTGAAAAGCCATCTCTACTAGAAGTACAAACAATTAGCCGGGCATGGTAGTGGGTGCCTGTAGTCCCAGGTACTTGGGAGGATGAGGCAGGAGAATGGCGTGAACCCAGGAGGCAGAGCTTGTAGTGAGCCAAGGTCATTCCACTGCAGTCTAGCCTAGGCTACAGTGCAAGACCCTATCTCAAAACAAAGAAACAAACAAAACAAAACAAGGAACTTCTATTTCTCTCACTTTCTAATATTATTTTAATACGTCCTCCAGGGATTTCACTAAGACATATTTTAGACCTCATTCTGATCTCCCTGTCCCTGCCAAGCCCACCAACTTCTGCCCTATCAACTATCCTCATGTCTCTCTGTGTAACATACTGACTTACTTTTTGCAGAGAATCATCTAACCAATTAATTATTTCTTCTCATGTCTAATCCATCCACTGAGTCTCTTATTTCAACAATTACATTTTTAATTTTATTGTATTCAGAGAGAGTGTCTCACTCTGTCACCCAGGCTAGAGTGCAGTGGCACGAACCTGCAGCCTTGGCCTCCTGGGCTCAAGTGATCCTCCCACCTCAGCCTCCTGAGTAGCTGGGATTATAGGCAGGTGCCCCACACCCAGCTAATTTTTTTTTTTGGTGGTTGTGGTGGGGTATTTTTTGTAGAAATGAGTTCTTAGCATGTTGCCCAGGCTTGTCTCCAACTCCTGGGTTCATGCCATCCTCCCACCTCAGCCTCCCAAAAAGTGCTGGGATTTCAGGTGTGTGTGTCACCATACCCAGCTATGTATTTTATTTCTGTAAGTTCTATTTCATCCATTTTCCTTTCAGGTCTTCCTCATCATTTCTGGTGGTCTTACTGCTTGCTTAATTTTATGAATGAATTTGTATATATTTTTATATATATATTAGATTTCACATGTAACTATTTTCCCACAATTTTAATATTTGAAGTTTGTGTTCTGTATCTGATAATTCCAAAAACTACAGTCTTTGAGAAATATGTTATTCATTATTTTTAACAATTCTCAAACATGTTGGGTTGACTACTTGAATGTTATGATTTATCTGAATTCATAGTTGCCTGCTTTTAATCTTTGGCAACCTATAGGCTTCAGTTAGAGAAAACTTCCCTCAAAAAGTGTCAGTGTCTGCTTTTGATGAGAGCTGTGGATACAACTAACATAAGCCCACTTTACCACCATGCATAATGCTGACATTCTCTTAGATTCTCTAGGAAAATCTCAGGACTACACAAGGTTTTCAAATTTGCCTCCCCAAACTTACTCATTTATACACAGGAGACTAGACTGCTTAGTATTGTTGGTGACTCCCTTCCTCCTACCCTGGAAAAAACAAAACAGATCTCTCATCTGAATGTGATCACAGACTAGGAAATTCTGAAGGTGAATAACTGGAGGCTGTGGGCAGCAAGGAAAGACAGGTGTCTTTCCTGACCACAGAAATAGGTCCAAAGCTGCCCTGAAGGCTGTGTGCTCCAGCATTTCTATTTAGCTCAACAATCAGTCCCTCCGTAAAAGTGAACAGAAGCTTCTTAGAGCACCATGTTGCCTTTAAACCAAAAATTATTGCTAAAAGTCATGGTCATGGTAAAAAAGCTATGGCTTTGGAAGGCTTTCTCGGTAATGTCCTAGAATTAAGGTTACAGCCTGCATTTCATGTTAACTAAACAGAAAACCGGCCTGAACAACATCCTTCTGTCCCATGGCGTGCTCTCAGCTCCTCTCGGTTGGGCCTTGGGCAGCCAGACTGTCTGGTTTTAATCTTTGCTCTGCTGCCTGTGACCTTGAATAAGTTACCTACCTTCAGTTACCTCATCTACAAGATGCAGATATTAGTAATACCCTCTTTTTAAGTTACTAAGAGGATTGAAAGAATTAATAAAAAGTAAAAATTAAAAAGACTTGGTAAGCATAGGCACAGAGGGGAAAAAAAAGTAAAAATCAATCCATAAATAAAAAGACTAGTGCCTAGCACATAAAAGTTCATCAGGAATTAATTCCATAATATGAACTCAATTTTGCAAAACTTCAAAGTACATATAACTTTTAACTTACTAGGTATACATACCAATAATAAATTTACAACTGTAGCCATGTTTGCCTACAGTAAATATAACAAAGACTAAACAAGCAGGTACTAAATCATTAAGTGATTATCAGTTAGTATCTTCAATTTTCCTATACTTCTGTATTTTCTATAGATCGTCTTTGCAACAAGAAGAAAACAAACCAAATGAATGAAATGAATTCTCTCAAAAAGAATTAAATCAAGACAGGAAGAAGGCTCACAAAGTAATACAAAATATATCTTATGGTTTATGTAAAATTGTTAATGAAAGTACCTTCTTTGCTCCAAGCTGCACTCTGGCTTTGCCTTTGAGTCAGGAGGCATTTCTTTGAACAATGACCAATTATCGAGTAGGCACTGCTTCATCCCTACAGGAAGAACAAAACATCTCTAGAACACAGCAGCATTCCTGATTCCCACTTGAGAAGGCCTAACAAAATGGCATATGCCTCAACAGCAGCAGATCGGTGTTTAAAGTCTGGAGTCAAGGGGGAAAAGTAAAATTGGAACATTTCTAGAATCTCACAAAAAGCAACAAACCAATGTTCTAAGTGCCCAACACGAGCAAATTAGAACCTTAAATAATGGTCACTCTTAATGCCTATCCTGGCATAGATTCAGCACCAAGTACAATCTCATTTTACTGGTTTACCTTTTTCATCCTTGAAAGTAGGAGTTATGAAAAAAAAACACTAAAATTTCTTTAAGAGAACCTTCTACTTACAATCTAACTTACATAATCAAAACACTCTATTGAGGGTGAAAATTGGGTATTATAAGAAAATAATCACCTGTTTTGTGAGAAGTTTCATGCATAATGCTCCTCCACCCAATACACACCTTAAAAAGAAAAAAGAAAACATACAAAATTATCTCGAGAATTATTCCTGCTTAAAAAATGTCTACACGTCATTACTAAGAAAGTATGCACACAGTAAAGATGAAAAGAGAACATGCAAGCATGAACATAATTGTTAGAGATAACAGGACTATGGGTAACTTAAAAATTCTATTGGTAATACTCTCATGTAATTGCTCTGAAATTGTAGTCAATTGTTTGAAATGGCTCTTGAAACAAAATAGTTTGAAATTTTTGTGATGTCAAAAACTAAGAAATTAGCCCTAAATGTTCCAAAGAATAGGGGCAGAAGAACATGTTCCCTTAAATGGCATTGGAGTATTCTTTACAACTCAACTTTCTCTCTCATCCTGTGATGGCCAAAAGTTTTTCCTCTGACAATGGCATTGACCTTACCCTATCCAGAATATGAACATCTGCATGGTTTCATGGTTAAAATTGTTTTTACTTATTCTGTTGTGAGAATCAAATGGTTCAAACCATGCAGCTCCTCTCTGGGACTCCTCAAGTCCTTTCTAGGTCTGAAGACTGTTTTCTGAACCCAAGACAGCTTCTGGGGATGTACCAAATCTCCCCGTAGAAAATTATTTAGATCAAGATGTTTTAACCATAACTTTTTCTCAAACAAAATAATTTCATTTCTCCTTTACTGTTATTTTAAATTTCAAAATACACAGATAGCATGCCTAAAATAAAATCAAGGGGATGACAGTTTTAGAACACAAACTGTGGTAATTTTGAAAACACAAAAGCTAAGACCACTGATTAGGTCTATGTGGACACCAAGTCCACCACAACCTGTTCTGTCCACCGGGTCTCTGCCCACCTTTCCCTTGCCTGAGATTCCTTCTGCCTCCTACACTTCCAAATGCTGCATTTCCCCCCGGAAGAGTTGCCAAGACCACTCCAGCCTGCACATCTTCCATTCCAGCTAAGCAAAGGCATCCTTGCACTGACTAAATCAAATTACTCTGTAGAGAAGGCATCTAAAAACTTCTACTGTAGACTATTCACCTTAATAATTGTTATGATGACATTATTCAACAATAAAATGAGGGAAAGAAGTCCTCCTCACTCCCTTATCCTGGAGAATCCAAGCCAGTGTCTTTCCTACTTGCTTTGCCCAAACCCTGATACCTTTCAAAGTAACAGTTTAATGGAAAGGAAAGAAAATCTAAAGAAAAACTCTCCAAAAAATTAAACTTGGGCAAAGAATCATGGGGTTAAAAATTTTTACTCTTTGTGTGTCTGATTTCTGAAACATAGAAATCTATCTTCCACTCCTTAAATCTGCCACTGGGCTAAGAGAGTATTGTAAAGAATGTACACTTACTGATTTAACAGAATTAGGACCTCCAGGCACTCACTGAGATTTTGCTTCCACAACCACTCAAAGTCTAGTCATTAGTTAATGAGTTAACACCACACTTGGTCTTCACATTTTGGATATGCTGACGGTAGACAGGGACTTGTTTTGGGAAAGGAAGTATACAGTAGACATTGCTACCCATTACCCAGCCACCACCACCTTTCCTTTAAAGTATCCCACTCTTCCTTTAAGGTTGCAGAGTCTCAGAAAGTGGGAAGAAAGGAAGTTTTTGCATTTTCAGGTCAAAAGAAAGTACATTTGTACAACCACATAATACCTCTGCAAAGGTTTCTTGAAATATAACACAAGACAGAAGTACTTCTAGCACCTCCACAAAAAGTAGGATAAGTAAACTTTTCCTCAATATACACTTTCAGCAGCATCGACACCTAAAAGTGGTCGACTCTACTACTGTATTAAGTTACATTCATTTTGTCAATATGTGTTCCAAATTCCTACTGCTCTTTGTCTCTGAAGGGTTCCTGCTGAATATTGAAACAGTTCAATAATACTAGGGAAAAAATTCTTAATAATCAAAGTAAGGTTCACCTAAGGATAATAAGCTACATATACAGACACAGTCAGATTTTCAACTTTAAAAAAAATTGAGTTGTCAAAGTTGTACAACAAACACTATCCTAAGCTTAGGCTCTTCTGGCATTTGATTTATAATCTCTGTAAAGAAAAGCCAGTCAGAAAATGGCACATTTTGTATGATTCCATTTATATGAAATGTCCAGGATAGGCAAATCTACAGAGAGAGAAATTAGATCAGAGGTTTCCGGGATCAACAGTGTGGGAGATGGGTATAGGGAGTGACTGCTAATGTGTATGGGGTTTCTTTCCAGGGAGATGAAAATGTTTGGAAATTGGGTAGTGGTAATGTTTGCATAACTCCAAATATACTAAAAACCACTGAACTGTACACCTGAAAGGGAGGCTTATCATATAAAAACCGTATGACAATAAAGCTGTTAGTTTAAAAAATGTTTGGCTATGTCAAGACATAAAGAAATAGCGTCATACCTAGAAGATACAGGATATAAAATACATGGAACAAAACTGCTCAATAATCTGTCTACAATCACACAATGCTTAATCTTTACCCTGACTAAAATTGCAAGCTTTGTATTTTATTGGTATTTCTCGGTTTTTACTTCTTCCTAAGTCAGTCAATAATTCCTCCTCCTCATTTAATTGTTGACTACAAGACCCAAGACATTTTGATTCTGCTGCCAATGAGGTTCATATTTCATTCCTCGTTCCATCCCCAGGACTACCAAACCAGTGTATGTTCTCCTCACTTCACTATAAGACAACAGTGTGGCCCTCAACTACTGTCACACTCTTCAAGGCTCTGTGAGGACAATGTGTCTCATATTCTCTTCTGCTGTCACCAGATTATTCTCAGACAGTTTCTTTACTGTTACTTCTCTGTTTCTCAACCAGTTCCACAGAAAAATGAATATCCAGGGATGGTGTCATGTGCCTGTAGTCCCAGCTACTCAGGAGGCTGACGCAGCAGGATCGCTTGAGAATGGGAGGTTCAGACTGCGGTGAGCCATGATCATGCCACTGCACTCCAGCCTGGGCAACAGAGTGAGATTATCTAAATAAATAAATAAATACATAAATAAATAAATGTGGTCTATCCATGCCATGGAATATTAGAATATTATCAGCCTAAAAAAGAAAGAAGTCCTATCACATGCTACAACATAGATGAACCTTGAAAACATTATACTAATTAAAATGAGCCAGTCACACAAAACCAAATAGTGTATGATTTCTCTTACATTAAGTTTGACATTAGTCAAACTCATAGAAACAGAAAATCGAATGCTTGTTTCCAGAAGCCAGGGGATAGAGAAATGGGGAGTTGTGTAGTGGGTATAGTTTCAGTTCTCCAAGAGCAGCAAGTTCTAGCAACTCGTTATTCAACAACATGTATATACTTAACACTACTGCACTGTATACTTACAAATGGTTAATACGGCAAATTTTATGTTGTGCCTTATCAGCATTTCTTTTTTTGGGGGGGGCGGCGGAGTCTCGCTCTGTCGCCCAGGCTGGAGTGCAGTGGCATGATCTCCGCTCACAGCAAGCTCCGCCACCCAGGTTCATGCCATTCTCCTGCCTCAGCCTCCCGAGTAACTGGAACTACAGGCACCCGCCGCCACGCCGTGCTAATTCTTTTGTATTTTTAGTAGAGACGGAGTTTCACCATGTTCATCAGGATGGTCTTGATCTCCTGACCTCCGGATCCACCTGCCTTGGCCTCCCAAAGTGCTGGGATTACAGGACTGAGCCACCGCGCCCGGACTATCACCCTAACATTTTTAAAAGAAGGGGCTTGTGATTCCCTTTGTTGTCATCACCCATTTTTTACTTCAGCATTTTGAACTTTAGGTTTTCTGTAGCTGTTTTCCTGAGCCCTGGATTTACTGGCTCAGAATGTCTCCACCACCTTGTAACAGCAGGTAGACACTTCTCAGCATCTTATTGGGCTCTGTGTGCTTGATGCTTAAAGTGACATGGAGACATGCCACTTGCTGAGAGGCAAAGCAAGGCAAAATGTGACTGCCTTCCTGGCATCGATGAAGGCAGAGAGAAGGGATCTTGGAGGCACAGAGGTGAAGGCATAAACAATAAACAAGGGTTGCCATCGAAAGAACTAACCCCTCTCCTGGCAACATTTGCAGGTGTTTTCCACACGGCCAGTGCATTTCACAATGTGAGCGCTGTCCAGCACCAAAGGGAATGGCCAACGGGCATGGAGCAGCCTGCAGCGTCCAGCACCCAGGAGGATGGCCAGCAGGCACGGAGGAACCTGCAGGGTCCAGTTCCAAGGAGGGTGGCCAGCAGGCACGGAGCAGCCTTCAGCGTCCAGCACCCAGGAGGATGACCAGCAGGCATGGAGCAACCTGCCTGTCCCAGGAAAGCAGGAGTCACAGGACACAGCTGGACCCAGGTAGGCATGTATATTAGTTTCCTGTGGCTGTTACAGCAAATTACCAAAAATTTAGTGACTCAAAACAATAGAAATTTATTTACTCACAGTTTTGGGTAACAGAAGTCCAAAATCAGTATCACTGGGCTGAAATCTAGGTATCGGCAGAGCCAGTGCTCTCAGAGGCTTAGGGCAAAATCCATCCTTTGATTTCCCAGCTTCTGGTGGCTGCTGGCATTCATTGTCTTGCAGCTCCAGCACTCCGGGCTCTGCCTCCATGGTCACAGGGCCTCCTTCTCTTCTGTCTGAAGTTAAATCTCCTTTATCTCCCTAAGGAAGCATGTGCCAGGATTTAATGCCCACTGAGACAAACCAGGATAATCTCTCCTCAAGATCCTTAACTTAATCATACCCGAAAAGATGCTTTTTCCAAATAAGGTAACATTTACCGGTTCTAAGAATTAGGACTTAATGATTAGCTCCCACTTATAAGTGAGAACACGCAGTATTTGGTTTTCTGTCTCTGTGTTAGTTTCCTTAGGATCATGGCCTCCGACTGCATCCATGTTGCTGAAAAGGACATGATTTTGTTCCTTTTTATAGCTTCATAGTATTCCATGGTGTATATGTGCCACATTTTCTTAAAAAGAGATTTATGCGGCAATATTCACAATAGCAAAGACTTGGAACCAACCCAAACGTCCATCAATGATAGATTGGATTAAGAAAACGTGGCACATACAAACCATGGAATACTATGCAGCCATAAAAAAGGATGAGTTCGTGTCCTTTGTAGGGACATGGATGAAGCTGGAAACCATCATTCTGAGCAAACTATTGCAAGGATAGAAAACCAAACACCTATCATGGTCTCACTCATAGGTGGGAACTGAAGAATGAGAACACCTGGACACACGACGGGGAACATCACACACTGGGGCCTGCTGTGGGGTGGGTGGAGGGGGGAGGGGTAGCATTAGGAAATATACCTAATGTAAATGACAAGTTAACGGGTGCATCACAGCAACATGGCACATGCATACATATGTAACAAACCTGCACGTTGTGCACATGTACCCTAGAACTTAAAGTATAATTTAAAAAATGGAGATTTATCATGGGGTCGTGGCTTACATGATTATGAAGGCAAGAAGCTGTCATCTGGAAACTGGAAGACTCAGGAAAACTGGTGATTTAATTCTGTCCAAGTCAGAAGGCCTGAGAACCAGGAGAGCTGATGGTGTCCATCCCAGTCCCAGGGGA